AAATTTATATAAAATATTAATGCTTAATATTGATCAACGTATATATAACCTATAAAATGTTTAAAAGAATACCATAAAAAGGAGTTAATTTTTTTTTCAGTACCATTTATTTTCAAAGTAGAATGTTGATTCAATTTAATTGTAGGTAGCTTCAAAAAGAGTATAAAAGTACAAAAGTAATCTGTAGTTGTATAATGTATACATAACAACCACAATACTGATAATGACCTAGCAACTTATTAAACATAACATTTATTTAATATAATATATTATTAGATATGATATGGTTTTAATCATACCATTGTCCTTTATCTATTGAATATTGTAATTTAAAAGTTTATAATTTGAGTACAGAATACCTATAGTTAACTTTTTATTTATATTCAATACAACTAACACGTAAAATGTGGGTAAAAGGATTTAATTAGTTAACAATTTTGCTTATAATATTTGTAGTGGAATCATCCAATAAAGCCAAGTAATTTTTTTTTTTAATACAACTTAGAATGGTAAACAAGCTGATGGCCCATCTGATGGAAAGTGGTAACCGTCGCCTATAGACATGAGCAGTATCATGGAAAAAACAGAGTATACTGTTTTGCCCATGATACCCCCCATGCGTTGCCATTCTTGAGGACTCAGGTGTTATTCCTCTGTACCCAGTAAATTCACGCCATATCCCACCCTTCAAACCGAAACACAGCCACGCAAACATAACTGCTTCACGGTTGAAACATGAATGGGACAGAGGTACCCATGCAAACGACTTTTGTACAAAGTCTCCCTCTGGTAAATTAAACCGTGAGCTGAAAACAGTTTATATAGTGTGGCCACAGCTTAAGTGAATAATTTGTCCCATGTCAGATGTCCGATATTTAGTACTAAGGAGGCTCTTATAATGTCAAGGGTAGACCAGGGTAGCAGACATTGGAAACAGGAGATTAGAAAGGAAAAGTTGACTGCGTTTCTTTGGTTTTTATGTTATTCGTGAAAATCAAATCAAATCAGAGAAATACAATATTAAAATCCTAGCGTGAAAAAGGTTAATACTTTAATTTACTAGACTAGAACTAATAAATTTCAAAAGCCATACTTTTCAGGTACGTTCATTAGTTTTATAGATATATTCATTGCTCAATTAACTAAAAAACTTTCATAAATTAATACCGATATCAAATTTTATTTTCAACCGACTTCAAAAAAAGGAGGTTCTCAAATCGATCGAATTTTGAATTTTGTATTTGTTACATCATAACTCCGTCAGCTCTAAACTAATTTGGAAAAATACACACACACCCACACCCACAGATTGGTCCTATAGTAATTTCATCAAAATCGTTTTAGTACTTTAGTTTTTATATCAAAATAACTGGTTTTGTCCCAATTAGTCGATCGGTTTTTTTTTATAGAACACAATCTTTTTATTTATATTTTTTATGTATAATTAACTAACTATATTTGAAGTAAAATTATCTATAAACACTTTTAATTTAATTATTATACTTCATAAGAAATGTTATTTATTATAATAATTGTCAAGATAAAAGTAAAAATAGATATACTTCAGATTTTTTAATTGTTCTCAATGTGTTTTATTCATCACTAAGAATTAATTTATTGTTGGAAACAACACCTAAAATAGATCCATTTTACCCACATTCCCCTGTATAGGGACAGGTGTCCCGTTCTATACCACAATAAATAGCTATTTACCAGTGAGTGCGACCGCGTTGGAGCCTCCAGCCACAGGAAGGTGTTCTCAATTTGTCGCCCGGAATGAGATTGTCGCCGCTTTCAGTATTAGGTAAGTGGCTTTCACATTTCACTTTACCTGAACCGACCGTGATTTAGATCTCATGTTCGAATAAATATTGACTTTTAAATAAATAATAAATGTATACATCTGGATATATTTCACAAAGCCACCTAGTTCCAAACGAAGTAGAGTTTGTACAATAGGGACAATTGATAATTTTTTTTTTTCTTAAATAAATGCATATTGTACATAGAAAAATACTCATGAATACAATTATTAGTGTTGTGTAGAAATCGAACCTGCTATGCCATTGAGGTTGTCTAAATAATAAATTACTTTTGTAAGTTTGATTTTAAATTGTTTTTGTATACCTTGTTTTCTTTATATAAAAAAGGTGATATATGGCCCGTCTGATGATAAACAGTTACTGTAACAATGCATGTTGTGCTACGTGTGCAATGTAGACCCTAAAAATACCTTACTACGCTTTCTGAAGCATCTAATGTTGTAGTCTTAAGGAAAATTTAGAAGATATCTATGAATATTCTCTGCGTAATTTAAAGTGATAATGAGTTATCTAAACAATATTATGTATTATTTTATTTACATCTAGTACCACAACAATTTTTTTTAATCAAAAGTACTTTAAATGAAAAAAAAATCTACAAAAGTAACAAAAATATAAATTGTTAATAAATAATATAATCGGTAATTACAAAGATGCCATTTAAAAGTTTGGACGAGGCAAGTTCATTGAATATGCCATTAAATTCCAATAACTTATTTTAATCTGTTTATACGTCGTGAACACATTTTTAAATTGATATGTCTATTGCTAAGTTGACTTTAAATTAAGTTATTTATAGCTAAGTATAATATAATTATGTATTTTATGCTCGCAATGTATATTAAGAAATTATACTTAGATAACATAGCAGCAAATTTAATAATTATGAAAGGTTTCATATAGTTGTTTCGTACTTTCATGAAGAGAAATCTATGCCCAACAGTGGGATGATAATAAGTTATTAAAACATTAATATATTTATTTATCAGTGTATTACTATTAAAAAAGATATTTTGAATCAGGTTGTGAATTGTGAAAACATAAACTTATCAGTTTGTTCTTGGAATGAAATAAAATTAAACGAAAGCCAACCTGTTGATTGTTGTTATTACACCTTACTTCATCACGCTTTTTCTTTTGCCCTAAATGTAGATTAAACATACATTTTCTGTTTTTCTACTTTATGTTCTATCATGCTCTTTCATCACTCTCGTTGTTGCTTCGTTAACTATAAAAATTTAAACTCTTTTGTAAATCAATACTCGTGCCGCCATTTTTTCCGCTTGCATCTGTAAGGTACATCTAAAATATATTTTTTCATTAATTTCTTGGATGAGTTTCTCTCACTTGTGCTCTTAAAGGTACTTTAACATTTCGATTGATGTTGGCTGTTGCTACTTTACGTATTTTAAGGCTAAGCAAGTGTAACCGAAGAGCCATGACCCGCAACGTTCAAAGTAAATTCGCTTTAAGCTGCAACTGTCAGTGCGAGTGGCAAAAACAAATATGATTTAATCGAAAAATCGGCAAAAAAGAAGCAGGTATGTAGGTATTCTTTATCTGTTATTAGTATATTCATCGCGTTAAGTCCCTATAGTGTATTTAAATTAGTGTATTTTTTAAAACAATAAAAAGTATAAATGAACTACTTTGAGCAAATTATCAAAGATTTCACAAAATGATAGGACTAAAGTGTATAACAGCTTTTGTATACCGACTGTCATATTGTAGATTTAATTTTAATATACTCGTATATAATATATATTTTTATTTAGATAATTTTTAATCAAAGTCCACTTAACTACCTAAATAAAGAGAAGGGGCTAAGTAAAAATTAAAGAGTCTAACTACTTACTAGTTTATCTAAAATTACATTTATTTATTAAATGGCATGAACATATTAAATTATTTGTATACACGTTGGACATAATATCTTATATAATTCTGTACAGTTAACCATCGGTCGTACAAAAGAGAATGAATATTGATTAAATAAATAAAAACTCTTTATTGTTCACGGGCAAACGAACAAGTTTATCTGATGGTAAGTGACTACCGCCACGCCTGAGCACCCGCAACATCGGAAGAATTACAAGTGTGCTACCGACTTTTGAAAATAGAATATGCTTTTTTTCTTAAAGGAAAAACCAATTACCCTATTACAAAAAACTAAATAATTTGCAACTAAATCCATTATATTTTATTCACTGATGTAAGATCTATATACATAGAAGTGATCTAATTAATTAAATTTCACCTTCTTATGATGTTAATTCGTCATAGAAAAAAATTAAAGGAGTAATATTTGTTATAAGTTTATAGATTTTGGTACATAAAATTACAAGTAAATATTATTTTACCCACCAAACAATATTTAATTACTTGCAGTGATGTTAAACTCTGTTTAGATAGTTTTAATTTTTTTTTTTGTGGTAAGGTGTTACAATTCCTAATTATAATAAATTTAATTTTAATAATAAATAATTAAAGTAGTATGTATATAGTAGTATAAACTAAGATTGTGAGAAATCAAAGAACGAATAAAATTGTTATTCTACAAACTTTGAAAATTATATAAATTTAGAAAGTTCATTTTCTCAATTGATTTTGTTGGGATTAAAACTTCGGTCTCCTATATAGTATTTACACGAACGTGCATTGCACTATATCATGGCATACCTTACATGATTTCTTATATTCTTATAGGAAGATAGAAGAGGATTGTTAGTGATAGGATTCTAAATGGCATTTTACTAGCAACTTTTAATATAGAGTACGCTGCTAGCAAGGGGCCTAGCACCTGATAGGTGATTAAGTCGACCTCCACAATAATTCTCTAGAAACCGTCATGATTATATTCTAGTCAACTAAATTAAATACATCCTCACTTACCTCATCCCTCAGTTGCTATCAAATATCAATAATCGGGCGGTGTTACAATTCTATTGTCATCTCTTAATAAAATACTTGAACACAAAGCATAACTAGGTGCATTCATATTATAATATGACATGCCTACACAGTACTTTGCGAAGCCGCTTAACATTGAACACAAAAAATGCTATTGACCGATCTGACGTAAATATAAATAAACTTATTAAATAACAGGTCTAATGATAATAATATAGGAAACCGGATCCTTTTTTATGGTTTCGAGAATTAGAGAAGCATCTTCAATCATTATGTACACAACCAGCGAATAAGAGCTACCTTATAAGCCGAATTGATAAATTTGGATTATGAACAATATGTTACATAAGTGTTCGTTAGTAATAATTTGTGGAACATATATTATTACATTAAATTCATTTTGTGTGCCTGTGTATGGAAATATAAGAGGTAAATACTATGTTTATTAATTAATATTGCATAAATACATATTATAATAGAAAGGGTATAAAAAACCAAATTGAATTTGTATTAATGAAAATAAATAACTTTTCAATAGGTAACATATCTAAGGATAATAAGGTTGTCCAGTTTCATAAATATGTATGTTTTTATTTTAAATTATATAGATAGTGTCTCCATACAAAGCGGGTGATTTTTTTAATAAAATTTTCTGTGACAAATTGTAATTTCTTTATAACTTTTATATTTATTTTATCTTATAATTTTTAAATCTTTTTAATTTGTAAAAACTTAAAATTAAATATAAATACGACAAGATATGTCGCGAGCGTAAGTATATATAGTAACACTAACAAAAAAAGAGTCGGCTAATTTGACAATTAGCTGATAAAAACTTGACCCGTTTTTGAGACTCGGCTCGACTCGACCTGTTTTTTTATTTACGAATATACCTGTAATAATGTATGTTATATAACGAACTAAATTTTATTTGTATTTAATGTTATTTTCGGGACTTAACACGACGCAATTACATGACGATTTGTAAATTAGATATTTTGCACGTACATATATACGTAAGGTACAATACGAGTATATCTGTAATTACGTCGAACTTAGTTCCAAAAAAATTATTTAGAAAAGTCATCAAAGTTTACAAATAAATAAAACAAAAAATAAATTAAAGTTATCTATACAGAAAAAAATATTATGATTTCTTCTTTGCTTATCAGAAATACGATCACCGCAAACCAATTGGTGGCAAGAAAGTCAATCTCAACAACAGAATCCAAACGGAAACGTTGTGGAAGAAAAACTGGACTCACAGTCGAGCCAACAAAGAAAGAACGATTTTGTATTAATCTATAATAAGGGTAATAATACTTTAGTCGAAGTTCGAGGTAAATGGTCCACTCGTTCAGGCGACGACACGTTAAATAACTCTCCTCAAGAGTTCTCGAATACATCTAATGGAAATACTTATAATGAATACGATAATTCGCTCTCACCTCCAATCCTTTCATCTCATGAGGAAAGACCTGAACAGCCATCTCCACCGTCAGTTCCCTTACCATCACTTCCACTCCCTCAATTACCTCACGAGTATTGGCCGCCACCACGACCACCACTACCTCCTCCTCCACATGGCTCACCATTGGCTCCTGCTCTTCACCTTGGTCTGCCACCACCACCATATGTCAAGCAATTATTTGACTCCCAATATCGAGAAAGAAATGGACAACAATTAAATTATTATAGAAGACCACCGCCGGTTCCACCACCGCCGCCACCGCTTTTATATGATCAACTCTATTATCAAGGTAGGCATGAGTCAAATAGTTCTAAAGGACTGCCTCCGTATCCTCCGTCATATTGGTATCCACCTCCACTCCCACCATATTCATATTACGGACGACCACTACTACCGCCTCCACCCCACTTTTATTATAGACCTCCTCCTCCTCTACCATTCCACACACACTACGGTTATCCATTTCGTCCACATTTTCCTCTTTCATCGCCGACTTCACTGTATTCATATTATGATTACCAACAAATACCGCAAGATATTAAAGACAAAGATTTACTACCACATAGATCTGGTAGTATCCTCAATAATGGACAGTATTGGCCACCATCCCCCAAATACCACAAAACGTCTATAGAAAATGATAAGTTTCAGAATACTAATTTCAAATACGATATGGAAGCTGAAATGTTGACAAATGTTGATTATAACTCAACTGATGCATTAAATAAAAATCAAATCAACTATAATTCTGTTGCAAGAGAATATGAATTCTTAAATCGTCCAGAAGGTAACCGACTGTCACCAGAATATAGACAAGCCGGCGTACCTCTGACAGATATCAATCAAGATTATCCACAAATTATTATGAGTCCTTCGATGCCACAATTATTGCAAGTAATTCCCGTGACGCCAGACTATTAAGTAATAAGTAATATTATTATTATTAGATCTATTCATAATAATAACTACACTAAATAACTAACAATAGTTATGCTTATAAGTATCTACTGAAATATTTTGTATTTTCTAAGTATTATACTTTTTTTAAAATAAAGATCATTGTTATAAAATTTGTTTCAGTCGCTATTATTTTGCCTAATTATTTTAAGATATTTATTATAATACTTAGATAATAACTAATGTCTAAAATGAGTATTTTTTTAATCAAATATATTAATTTTGAGTATGAAACAGGCATTTAGTAAAATTTAGCTCATCTGATAAGAGAATCAGGATAGTGTAGGCAGATGTTGCAGATTCAAGTAATTAAGCAATTAATCAAGCCCACTTAGAAATGTTTTCAATTATACAATATTTATTATTGGAATATAATTTTCATATTATAAAAATAATTTTATTGTAGTTCAACAAGCATTTAAATAAACTGTGGTCATTATGTTTATTTATTTAGACGTAATAAACTTACTAAAAATCTTACTGCTGACCCGATTTAAATGAAATTTGGTGCATATGTGTATGGGTCATGTCCTAAGTTAATACACTGTATATTTTTTTTATTTTATTAACCAGGCTCAGATAATTGTTGACATAATGAAATTTTCTCTACGCATAGTATGTGAGATGGAGACGAACATAGGCTACTTTTTGTCTCAGTCAACCAATATATGCGGTTATGATATTAAGCCCCGGGTAAAAGTTAGTATAATATTATAAATTTAGGTAAGTAATTCGATAAAAATACGTACGGAAATTTACGGAACGTTAGACGTAGGCGGTGCCGCAAGATGATAGGGTAAACAAAATAAGCAGTCAAATGTCAAAGTTGTTGTCGAATACATTTTAAATTATTCGTATTAAACACACATTTATAGATTACCTTACTTGTAGATTATAGAGAGTTAAAACTATTTATCTTATATTAACTTGAAAATAAGGAATAAATGACACGCTTTCTGTATTTATTAGTTCTTAGATACCATTTAAACATACAGTTTAATGAAGAGACATGCAATAATTGGTTATTCTTTAACACTAAGATAAAGATAAATAATGATGTAATTCACAATAGGTATCGATAATGTAAGTATTTATAATAATTATCTTTTCTAAAATGACATAAAACAAACATTTTGAAATAAATATATATATATATCTTATCAATATAAAAAATGTAAAAATAAATTTATTGATAAATTACATCTTGATACTTTAATGGTTCAAATGTTACTAATTAAAACTAATAGTTTAATACATTCTTTTGTACAAAAATTAAATGAAAAAATATTCATTTTAATCCAAATAATGTTTTAAAAGACCACTTACTGAAATAAATATAACAAACATGTGATGTTTTTTCAGACCTGATACATGTACATATCTACAAAACACATACTAGTTTCTTATTTCGTTTTTATGATTGCATTACTAGTCAATACGTGAGTACGTTATACGAGTGTTAGGTTTATATACGGCAGAGTGGCATATGGTAGAAATTCATTCAAAATTATTAATCATTATTTTCTCTACACTACACGCATGTCAAGCTCGGATAATGAAAAACGTTTATAACTCTTCAATTCTTATTATTATTATTTTATAAGTAATAATAATTAATATAAATGAATAGTATTATTTATTTGTACCATTTATAATTTGTAGAGGAATGGGAGGAGCACTTTATCTATGTTCAATAAATATTAGCGATATATATAAAATTTAAATTAAAACATGATATGAATCATATATTTTGGATTTAAATGTTTGTTTTCCTTTTAATTTATTCCTACCGCTGCAAAATTTAACTCTGTAAAATTACTAATTATTTGTTTTTAACTAACCTATTTTTAAACTACAAAAAAAAAAGTATATGCAAATTAATCACAGTCGACATTATTTTGTTTTTATAGATAAACGCTCACCGCAGTATCCTAGCCCACCTTATAGAAGAGGATGGTGGAATAATATTCAACCGGATGTTAGACATGGTGGACCTCCCAGAGGCATTTTCAATAAAGGGCCGTCTCCTGATCACCATGGACCTCCTCCAGATTACCCAGAAACACCCTCAGACTACCGAGGACCACCCCCAAACCATCGAGGATTACCCCCAGATCACCGAGGACCACCTTCATATTACCATCGGCAACCTCCAAATTATCGAGAACTACCTCCAGGTCACCGAGGTTCACCTCCAGGTCACCGAGGTTCACCTCCAGGTCACCGAGGTTCACCTCCAGGTCACCAAGATTCACCTCCGGGTCATCGAGGCTTACCATCGGACCGACAAACACCACCTCTGGACAATCAAGGACTAAAAGTACAAGAATACAGAGACCCATATGACAATAATGATCAACACAGTAATGAAAGATTAACAACTGCCACAAATGAGAAACAGATTGACATAAGATACGAGTCGGGTGGTGTTCCAAAAACTACGGATCAGACCATTACTGTCAATGTTGAAACATTAAATAAAATTTTTGGTTCTGCAACAAGTAACAAATATATGTTAACGACTGATGGAGTTGCCCCTTCAAATAATAATAAATCAAGCAATACAGTAAAAATACCACCTCATATATTTCAAGTTGCACCAGTAACTCCAGACGACTGACACGTTTTAAAAAAAAAGGAGGTTAACGCCTGTAACATCTCTAACTGAAACATCCTGACTGATCAATCAACGCGCTGCAAAACTATTGAGTCTTAAGAATTGAAACCAATACAAATATACATACTCGTATATTGGATGAGCTCAATTATGGAACACATAAGCGAACATTAATTACTTGCAAGTTTTTAAAGTCTCACAGCTACGCGAAACAATGACACAAGCCACTGTTTCTTTGTAGTATAATCCACAATTTAATATCAATAAAAATATATACTACTAGAACAGTTTCAATCATGGACATAGTATGCTATAGGCATATTATAATTAATACTTTAGAAAATAATATAACCACGAAATATTCCAAGCAATTTTTGCCTGTCACTCCATGAGTCATAGTAATTTTTTTATTGATAAGTATAGTAATTAATATGCAGTTCATGTTTTATTGATAAAAACTTAACTTTGTGTAAAACTACATTACTATTAAACCTGACGTTGTGACTTCATTTTTATTCTATTTTGCAAAAAATATGTAACATATCGTAGAATAGAACATTTTTAACATTGAATTTATTTTTTTTATAAAATTTTATTAAAACTGTGTGTCATTGAAAAAATTACTTAATATATATTAAACATATGCCAAGTTTTATTATAATTGGATAAGCTATTAAAGTAATAAATAAACACATTTTAATATTAATAATATTTTTCATACTTAAAAAATCCTTTGTTATAAAAATATAGAGCTACCTGTACAATAGTCAGGTAAGACTTCCAAAATTATTGTTATAAACAGAGTTTAAAGTACAAACTTACAAAACGATTATTTTTTCGTTAGGTAAATAATAATGAATGAAATAAAGATAACATTATATCATTTTGTTTTATTTAACAAATATTATTCAAGTATTTTTTCCAGAAAAAATGCAATTACAATGCAATCCGTTAATTACAATTATGTAAAATAAACACTAAGGTTGGTATACCATACATAAAATTATAAATTTAAATGATTGTTAAAAAAGTTTTATATGCTCAATTTGACTTAATTATCTACACACATAGTAAAAATACACATACAATTTTTTACATGTCGTTTATATATTGTTGCTCGCATGTTTTATTTGTCGTATTTTTAGTTATATTTAATCAAAATGTAGGCATACACCTGCCATCTGTTGTACGTTCATATCCAGGCTCGCAGCCTCCAGTAAAGTTTTCTCTTCCATCCTTTTCCGTTGTTGTTGTATCAGTGTTATTAGAAACACTGTTTGATTCTTCTGTTGGAAAAATTATAGCACCTTCAGTTTGTTTATTAGTATACTGCGTAGTAACTGCGCTATTCCTGTTAATAACTGTTTCACCAGCTGGAATTTGATTTTTATTGTTATCGGTTGTTGTCTCCGTTACATGATTATCTAAATGAAATAAATTTCTAATATTATCTCTCGCCTCTTCAGCCCTTTCATGAGCTCTTTCATGGGCTTTTTCAAAGAAATTAAGCACAGTTCCGCCAAGTGCTGCTTTAAATTGGAATGTTATTAGTAAACAGAACAGAACGGTTAAAGCAAACTTCATTTTAGTAACTACGATACAACGATCTCACTCGTCACGCCCGACTTGATATATTTATGTGACTGAATGTCCACAAATGCGTTTTAGTGATTGCGGCAATTCTCTAGATAACATATTGGCCTTTTAGAGACAATCTAATAAGCCAAAAAGGTTATTATAAACGATACATTGTTATCAGGTAATACTATTAAAGTCTGAACTCTTCTTTAAATTATCAATTTTTTACACAATTTTACCAAATGTTTTTAAATTAAGCTCACATAGTATTCAAAATTTGATTTCTAAAATTAAATAGAACTCTGAACCTAATTTACAATCTTGAAGGTCTTCAATCCACGGATCATTTTTGTCTTGCTTCATTGACACTAAGTATACTGAATAATCTGAAAAACAATAATTTTATTTATATTGACTATAAACGAATTCTTGAATAGTGTTATTGCTATAACTCAGATTAGCTGAATTTAAATTAGTGAATATACCTTATATATCTACGATTGAGTAGAAGACAACCACATATGGTGGTAAGTTCTCCTTTTATACTCTAATAATCTAGATTAAATTATAGTTTCTCAACTTTATTTCACCCATCGCCTACTACGCCAATATTTTTTTTCTAGAGTCTTCATCTTAATTTTACTTACCATTTGTCGCGAATTCAAAACAGTTATTGTTACAATTATATTTAAATGATAATGTGCTCTAAGTATTCTACTGTCCCCCTAAGTCTTAAACACTCCCAAGGGGATGCTGTTACCCATTTTAAAAATCTATGATCTAGGTATGTTTCTGTATACAAGTTTAGTAACTAAATAATATACTGAAATGACTATAGCATCACGATTTAACTTAATTTTTCTCAAATATCTACCATATGTTTACAATTTTATTACATTAATAAGATTGCATTAGCAATATGAACCACCACAGGTTGTAGGTATATATACACATGGGTGATACCCGTGTGAGTGTAAAATAGAAAAGATGTAGGTACACGGATAAAAAAGATAAAAAAGATTTCTTCAAATAAAAATTTTTCTCGAAATTTCAAGGTAATATTAGCTTAAGTATTATATACATTATATCAAAAACATTGTATTTTAAACCAAGAAATCTCGTTTTCACACTTAGTTTTCTAAACCTGAGATCAATTTATTTAATTTTATATATTTTATATATATATATAGCAAAGAAGTATAATATTTTTAATTTCCAAATCATTAAATATTTTAAAGTTAAATAATCTTTAATTTAATTAATACTAAGCATAAATAATGTAAATCTAGATATAGAAAAAAATTAGATGTCGTTATATTTTTTGGATTCATATGTAGGCACTGGTAAGATTATTTGAGATTTCATATATACATACTTACAATAAAAAGTATCTAAATTTTCACTATTTTATTAACATTGTATTTAATCTTAAAATAAAAAAAAAACGCATACGTTTATTATGTCAAGGAATTATTTAAAGAAAATATATATTATTAGAGAATAAAGAGTTGAATGAATTATAGAATACGAAGAAACATATCTTATTGAGTCAAACAAAGCAATACTTTTAATTTAGTTTATAACTAAAACAAAAAAAAAAAAATTCAATATATGTGAAGTTTTTTTAATTGAAGCAACTTATTGACTGAAGTAATATTGTCTTATTTTAAGAAAATTTATTTTAATAATGATTATAACGTTTTGTATTAGATGATATATTATATGTTCCGATGAAAGGGCAAAAAACGACTGAGCAGATAACGCCTCGCTTTACGTCTCATAATATAATAATAAACAAATGAGACATGCGTGCAAGTGCCACATGTGTGTTCTTTTTTTAAACAGATATATTTTCATCACGATTAACTCCAGCGAGAGGAGCAGGAAGAGCTTTACTCTATGTCAGAGGTTCCTAAATTTTTAAGATAACAGAAAGTCCATTAAATACCTTTTATTTTACGGAAATCCATATCAAATGATTATAAATCAAAAATACTGTATTTTAAATAAAAACAAAAGCCTTTATTAGAAATATTTTAAAAGTATAGCACTTTATAGTTTCCTTTAATTTTTAATGTGAAGAATGAAATTGTTTCACTGTATAAATACTTTCGCGGAACTCTGGTGACGTTTTTACGGAACCCCTAGATTCCGCGGTACCCACTTTAGGAATCGCTGTTCTATATACGAGTTGTAGTGCTGTATGTGACTATAACAGCATAGTGGTGCTGTTATAGTCACATAAAAAAAAACATTCAATTTAAGACTCCTTTATACATATTTAATACTAAAATAGGCAATGGCATATATGAGATTTATTTTCATTTGTGAAGTAGTATTTCTCATTGAAGTTACATACTGAAATATTCAACGTTTTCATTATTTTCATTTATAGCTCTTCCAGTTGTTCAATTTTATGAATAGATATTATTATTATTTATCTAAATAAATAAAATAATAAATATTACTGAAGATATTATATAGTGTCATCTAGTATAAAATTAAGCAGAGTCTGTGCTGTGGTTACTAAATAGTTTGATAGTTAAAAAAATAATACCTGTTTTTGTAAATACATACATATTATATCTGTAAAATATCCCAAATAATACAAACAAACATACTCATGAATGCAAAAAAACTAGAGGGATCTTTGTACAAACGTCGTTTGCTTGGGCACCTCTGTCCTATTCGTGTTTCTATCGTGCAGCTGTTATGTTAGCATGACAGCCATGCTAACATAATAAACAAAGCCGAAATACAGATTTCGGTTTGAAAGGTGAGATATGCCAGTGAATTTACAGGGTACAGAGGAATAAAACCTAAGTCCTCAGGAATGGCGACATAGGGAGGGGGGGGGGGGCGAAACAGTATACTCTGTTGTGTCCATGGTACTGCTCATGTCTATAGGTAACGGTTACCACTTTCCATCAGGTGAGCTATCAGCTTGTTTACCATTCTAAGTCGTACAAAAAAAAATATTGTACGGGGATCGAATTCACGATCAAAAAGGATCGGGCGGTATGATATGCTTGAAAACTGAAATACTATATATGAATCTAATCGTACATAGATAATTTATATCTAGAGGTAATATTATCTACTAGCGATATGCGGCGTCTACGCTCGTATTACTATGATATTAAATATTGTATATATTAATTTGGTCTATGGTTAATTTATCAAATTTAAATCAAATCTATTTACACTACCATTTCAAGAATATTATTATGTATATGTAATTAAGCAGTGGCATTGAGGTTTAAGTTGTTTAGTTTCTATAAGTACCTATAATAAATACCTGAGAGGTGAGAATCTGATAATTTATGAAACAAAGCTAAAAAAAGCCACAGGATATGTTATATAAGTATAGTTTATAAACTACAAAGTCGGTAAATATGGGTTTTCTGGAGGTAACATTATTAAAATAATTCATTAATTAAACTAAATAAATAAATAAACAATAATTAATGAATTATTTTAAATAATTATCTAACTACCTACTCAATAATAATCTAATATTAATCTACACAAATATTCTCCGTACTCGAATTGTAATCACATTCACAAATATAAGAATGTCTATCGTCGGAATACAAAAGAAAATTATTGTCTGCAATAGTGTTTTTAAGATTTTAATTTTCAAATATAACTCACCATTAAAATTTATCTCTACAGTTTCCAAGGCGATCATATCGCTGGCCGTCAGGGCATTGTAGTACTGGTACTCTTATGACTTGACCAGTCTTTTTTTCCTCATTGGTCAGTGCCGCTAGTTTTAACTTTTCACGAAAGTTAAAAATGTTGTGTTGCACTTCCAAACTTACGTGTAACATTAACACAATTACAATCAATACAATCCTTGTATCCATTTTGATGATGTTGCCGAAAAAGTTGATTTCCAAAAAGTTCACAACTCAAAGCACACGTTGTCACTCATATATTTGTCTGCAGATTCCTTTTAGATCCCTTTTAAGTCCATATTTACAATCTATTTTATTTTGTGGAGTTTTTATCATTCTTTGCATAACTTTATATTCATCAGTATTATCATCAGACGACGCATTGGCTTTCGTATTTTCCTCTTGTCTAATATGTGGGAACGAATCTATGAAGTCCTTCCACGGATTTCTAAATATTTGCATGAAGTCGTGCCATGACAACGGCGCAGCGCTAGCTTGGAGCAACAAATGGCCCACAATGTATAGCACGACTATCCGAGTGAACAGCGACGTCATTATACACACATTACAGTGCCAGTCATAATACTATTGACCATTCGTTTATCAACCAACAACCGACTATCAGAGAGTACCTATTGTATGTGATAAGGTATATACACAAGTTATCTGTAGATAGACTATGGCGTAATGGGAAACGTCTTGATAACTTATTTTTAACAATAAGCCAAGAGTGTTCAGTTTACTAGTATTTATACTATTATATTGCAATTAATCTTTAATTGTGGTATTATAATGATAAATTTAACTTTAAATGAATCATACGGTGTATACATTATGAGTCATTTATTCACTGTACCTACAGTACATGATTATCATTCGCATTTTTTTTATGACTACAGTATAGTGGTGTCCCTGTTGCACTATTATATTGTCAATAAATAATTTTATTAAATAATAATAATTTATTTGCCAGAAACATAATTACATAATAAGATGATACAACTTCTTTTTTAATATTCAATATGTTTCACCATATTCAATGGTATGCAAAACTTTGTATCAAAATATAATGAAACTGTTAAATTATAAACTTAATATAATTAACATTATATCTATACATAAATAATGTTATATCTATAAAAATGTAGTACATACAGATACTCGAATGTTTAGACATTTGTTACACAATCACGCTTAAATTGTTGAATGAATTTAAATGAAGTTTCCACACGTTGAGCATATCATATTATACATATTTTGTTTACGTGCAAGCAAAGCTGTAGATTACAGCTGTTTATTGATAAATTGCATTTAATTATACTCGTCTATCTTATTAAAAATTGCTACTTCATTCTAAATTACTGGATAAACATTCATGTTATTATAAAAGTTAAGGAGGCTCTCGGAGTCCATCATTGTGAAATTCTCGTTAGTGCCGCCCGCAATATAGCTTCGCTTCAACGATTTCATTTGGACGAGAGAGAGAGATACCTAATTTTTATGACATAATAATTGGTCAATGAAATAAAATAGACCTTCCATATTATTTATTGTACTTAAATAATGAAATTATTTTAATTATCTATTTAAAACACCTTCTTTAAAACACCGCCAGTTACATTAGTACGCTTGAAATATAATTGTCACGAATTCTTCTGTACCCAAATATTGCTTTTATTAATCATAAAAAGCTAAACTTACTTTACAAATATTGACATTAGAAAAGTTGGTACAGAAACATAACACCTTAGTCCATGGGAATGGCAATGTGGGGTATCATGGGCGAACTTTTTCTGTTATGGTTCTATTCTTTTTTTTTATACCACTGAGGTGGCAAACAAGCATACGGCCCACCTGATGGTAATTGGTTACCGTAGCCTATGAACGCCTGCAGTACCAGAGATATTACGAGCACGTTGCCGACCCTAAAGAAACCTCAATACCCCGCTTTTGAAGAACCCCATTCTGTAGCCTCTTGAGAAAACCTCGGCAGGGAGCTCATTCCATAAGCTGAGTGTTCGTGAGAGAAAACATCTCTGAATCTGCGTTGTACGCGACCATTTAGACTGTAGGATATGAAGGTGAACTCCCTGTCAATGGCGAGCCGTACGATAATAGAAAGTGGCTGTAAGCATCATATTGAATAATTCTTCTGAGCACAATCCATTGTACAAGCGGTAGAACACGCAGAGTGAGGTAAAATCTGTCCTAAGACTTAAGGGTTTGATATCGCTTGCAAGCCTGGGATCATCGACAGTTCTCATAGCTCGTCGTTGCACTAAGTCGAAGGGTTCAAGCTGGTATCTAGGTGCTCCCGTCCATAAGTGACAACAATACTCCATATGGGGCCGGATTTGCGACTTGTAGAGCATTAATCGCTGATCTGGCGTGAAGTAATGCTTCGCTCTATTAAACACACCAAGTTTTTTGGATGCCAACTATTCGTATTTATAGTCGACAATTACCATTTTTCATCAGGTCTGCCGTCAGCTTGTTTGCTATTCTAAGTTGCATAAAAAACAATTGTACTCTTCCACAATAAAATTGTTAGAATATCTAATTGGTTTCGCCATTTAAGGCATTTTCAAACCTTTATTTTAGCTAGTTTTTTTTAAATGTACTTAATGTTGCCAACATACATTTATTATATTGTATTGTAGATAAATTTATTATTTAATGGGTTCAAGCAAAGAAAAGGGAATGTCACAATTTTTGTTTTATGTCTTATATTATTTTCATAAATTAACAAGTATAATTTTAACAGAAATATACTTAATTTAACTCTATATTAGTTTTAAGTATTATTATTATTGATTTTTTTTTAACGTTCGTTGCTAATTCCTATCAATGATAGGAATTTTAAGATGCTTTTGGTAGCTATGTTTTTTTAACTCCTCAGAATATAAAGTATATTTTTCAAAAGAGATATATCGTTTATGTATAAGTTAACTACAGCCACAAATTAAGTGCTGCGGTTCCTTAATGTGACAAAATCTGTAAACACTTTTTGGGCATAAGCTAAGTTGGGCCATATGTTTGATAAGTTTCCATTGTCCAGTGAGAGTTCTTATTAATACATTCATATTATTTTTACTCAAAATAATTAATTTCTTAGAGAAATTTTTCGAAAACTCCTTAATCAGGGCTTTTGTGTGATTTAATCCTGGCATATTTTTTATAACAGATTTATTGTTAAAGATTATAAGCGATTTTTCAATAATATAAACATACATACAAAGTGCCACTAAGTACCAACAATCACGATTATTAATATTCTTTTTAAATATGTTCCTAAGTTCTGCAATTTCGTTTAGCTTTGACGAGTCAGTCAGTCACCCGGTATTTTTCTGAATTTGCGAAAATTTAATGAAATTATACTTATGTAACCATTTAAACAAATTTAAAATAATGGATATTACACACATCAATCATCTACTAAATATAATGAAAAAATATTGGATCTTTATTATTGATATATATTCATCCTTTTATATTATTTCAAATAATACAACTCCCATATTGTTACTATTAACTATCTCACTGACAAGCACACGTTCGATGCAAGTAGGGGAGCACATCATAAACACACATAAAAAGATATTATTTACATTACAAAAGTTTCTGAAGGTTATTACAAATTTTTGGGAACAAATTTAACTTTATTGTAGTGAGTATAGGACGACCCCCCATTAGATGAAATGAAATGAAGAAGTGACGACCTGAAATCCATTGCAGGGAGTCAGTGGATGTAGGTGTCTCAGGACCGTTATTTATGGCAGTCTATAAGGGAGGCTTTTATCCAGCAGTGGACGAATAAAGGCTGAAATGATGCTTGATGATGGTGATGAGTGTAGACCATAATAATATAAAATGTAATCAATGTACATTCATATTCCTTGTTATATACATACGGTGTCCCATTAGATAGTATGCTGTAAAACCTTTAGCCTAGCAGGATACTGAAGGTAATGAAATTTACAAATGTAAAATATTGTTTTAATTTAATAATTCCATAACTGATTATTCTATATGAAACATATTCGTATGTAACTATAATTTATAAAAAAAATATTTGAAGGTTACGTAGTTCTTACGCTGTATAATTATGTTAAAGTGAATGCTGTGAATACCTATAATAGGCATGTGCATTAATATTGTATTGTATTTAATGTTGTTATACCTATATGTTATAATGCAATATGCTGTTGGTGTTCCTCAAATAAATAAATAAATAGTTTCTTTAAAAATTTTACGTACATGTTATTTGCACTAAATCAGAGAAATACTCTACCAAGTTAATGAAACTTGATTCATATAGAGGTAATTTGTACTTCAATTAGTTATGCTTCTTTGTATTGTAATTTATTTATTCATACATGGTATGCTATAAAATTGTTTAAGGTATCTCATATATACCATATGTATATAAGGTGTAAAATAAATAAATCCTTACTGATATTATAAATGTGAGAGTGAGTTTGTTGGTTACGGCTTAACCAATTATTATGAAATTTGGTGTATACGTGCAAGTACTATGGAATAGAGAAGGACATAGACTACTTTTTATCCTGGTAAGTAAACATATTCCAGTCATGCAGACGAAGTCGCGGATAAAAGCTAATAACAAATAAATCTGTATACCTTACACACGCATTAGCCACTTCCTTTTTGGACTCTGTTAAATATTACAAAAAGATATCTGTATTTTTATTACTAGCTTTATCACAACATTTATGCTCCAAATAGATATCTATATACAGCCTTTGATCTCCCTGTTATGTACTAAAACTGCCAGAAACAGCGAGTAACCGAGACAGGTATTTCGTGATTAAAATGCTTCGGCGTAACAATATTTAATTAACATACTTTTATTCAATATCATAATAATATAATGGTCAACTATTATTTATACCAAATTCCAAATTTTAGGGTGGATTTATTTAGTGTTCTCTTAAAGGTTGTTCTTTGATCTTTATCTAATTATATTAAATTTTAAATAATTATAAAGCACTAAATATTACGTAACATAAATTTAAGTGTATAAAATACTAAGAGAATGAATATAAACTGAAGTTATTTTTAAAATAAGCTTTTTAAAATAACAAGGCGTAAAGTTAGCGAACAGTTCCATCATTATTGCTCATTAGAGCCGCAATCGAGGCTCGCTCGAAGAAACCCAGCATAACGCAAACATTCTCGAAACAAATTGCTATGTTTTAGGTACTGAGTACGCCACCTATAGGTAGAAAGTATGTAATAATTATAGGAATATTTAGAAAAAGGTTTTCAATCAGACTACATTGAAAATGTTCTCAAATACTTTATTTACTACAAAAAATAGAATAAAAAGCAAATATGGCTCGAGATTAATTTCTCATAGTATTTATAGGCATTAATAGACTGTTGTGGTGAACGTAACACTCGACATGTTCACTTTTTGCTAAGCTTGCTATTAGAGGGCAAGTCTACCGTTGTCACTTGAATTAATTTGATTTGTTATCGGTGTTTTCAATCACCAGAGAATTAGTTGGAACCCATAAATTTTGCCGTCTATAAGTCGAAATAATAGTGGGCTTCGACTTTAAATTTATAACAATACGTACATAATTCTAACCTACTAATATTACAAGTGTGAAAATGTACGATTATATGTAATATTATAATACAGTAAGTTATAATTTATTGTTGTGATGGTATTTCACACTGAATACATTTTGTATTTCCATACATTACATACAATACATTTCGCAAGGGCAGTGTAAGTTGATCAGTTAACAATATAACAATGGGTAGTTGATATTATATTCAAAAATATATTTTAATTATAGTTTTATTAAAGTAATACTAAAACTACAATAGTTATAATATTATAATTTACATTTGCATGTTATTTATGGACCGCAAGTCTCGTAAATGTCTGGATTTCTTGTTCTGAAAATAAAAAAAAAAAATACAATAAATATAATACGAATAAAATTTTAATTGATTTTATTAATATAATTCAATATTTACATAACATTAATTTAACGAAATTTTGTAGCTTCGCTTAATTATCTCTCGTTTATGAAGATATTTATAAATTGTGTTTTAATTATTTTACATGTTTATCAGATTGTACAAATTTTCTACAGGTATGGCAGTTTATCACGAACTCGATATGTATTCAATTAATGTAACAAAAATTAAAATGCACACATTACCATCTAGTTCCAAATTAAACTTCTATCTTGTAATATAAATTACTGGTCTAAAATACTTTTTTTGTTAATACATATTATCCATAAAAAAAGCAATTCAAACAGATGTTCTTATGATTACAAATGCTTGCTAGAATCGAACTCGCGTCAATCGAAAAGTCAGTTATTGTCAGTAGCCGTTAGACCGCCATGGTCGCCAGTGTTGTTGAGATTATTTGTTTGGTAAAAAGAAGTGAAAAGCATTGTGTACAGGATAAGGTCACAAGTGTTATCAGATTGACCTCCTCGTGCCCCCCCCCCCCCCCTGGAAACCATCGTGTTGAATTCCAGGTGTAATCACCACGATGGACAAACTGACAGATCTTTTCATCCTTACCTATTTTCTATCACTGGCGCCCCGCCAGTGTATACCGTTAGCGCAGGCGGGGTTACCATTCCATTATCATCCATTGAAGTACACAAATGTTCAGATTCGATTTCCAGGGTGTTTACTTAGTGCTACACTCATATTTCATACCACATGTGCAGCTTAGAACACAATGTCAAGTGACCACGACGATGATCAAGAAAAGCCTTCTTATGTACTATAACATCGCTTTAAGCCGCTCTATATAATAATTTTTTTTTTACAATTATTCGCACTAAAATAAGTTATTTCAAGGTAGTAGTTCTCTGTATTTTTTTTTTGTAATATTACGGGATATCTTTATTCATTGTGAACAAATTTTTATTATCAAGTAGGTAGGTTCGACAGAGAGAGCCTTTGTACAAAAGTCAAGGTGCCTCTGTCCCATTCGTTTTTGTGCCGTGGAGCAGTTGTTTGCATGACTGTTTCGGTTTAAAAGGTGCAACATGGCAATAAAATTACTGAGTACGGAGGCATAACAATGGCAAAACAATGAATGACAACGCATGAGCAGTATCATGAGTGTTATGTTAGGTACTGTTCATGTAAATAGGCGATGGTTACCGTTTTCCATCAAGTGAGCCGTCAGTTTTTTAGCCATTCTAAATTACATAAAAAATTTAAGGTCTAGGTAGGTTACCTATCACCAAATCATTTTTATCGTGATCAAAGTAATTGTTTTCAACCACCTTCAAGAAGAAAGAGGTTCTCGATTCGATAGTTTTTTTTTTCTTACCTCATAACTGTTATTTTTAAACTGTTTTTGAAAATTCATTTTTTTATTATAATTGATAAACTTACAGATTGATCCTATAGACATTTTATCAAAAAACGGCTTAGCAATTTAGTTTTTAAATCAAAATAACTGGTTTTGTCATAATTGAAGTCGGCTTTTTTGTGGGACACAATTTTTTATTATACTATTGTTTTTCTATAACAAAACAATAGATTACTTAACGAAGTGATTGTATTATAAAAGGTAGTGCAAATAACTAGTTTAAAAAAATCTGTATGTGACACCATGATACAAACTCTAGGGGTCTATTATCCCCATTACTAGCAATACACCCTATCAGTTCGACCTCCACGCGGTTCGCCCTGGAAATTATCGTGATTAATTCTAATGGAATTCGTCACGATGGTCTAACGGATCTGCTTTCATCATCACTTGTCACCTCCCACTGGTGCCTCGCTAACACATATCGATAGCGCATACGGCGTTACCATTTAATTATCGCCCTTTAACAAAAATACAGGCGCAATGCAGTATGTCCAAGTATCTATAGCTGTTAATCCTCAGTTAGATAACTATTTAAAAGGTAATACATCGATATTTTAAAGTTACAATTATATTCTATCAGGAGGGAGACTGTACAAAAGTCGTTTGGTTGGGTACCTCTGTCCCAATAGTGTTTCAACCGTAAAGCAATTGTGTGCATAGCTGTGTTTCGGTTTGAAGGGTGGGATATGGCGTGAATTTACAGAGTACAGAGGAATGACACCTGAGTCCTTAGGAATGGCAACGCATGGAGTGTATCATGGGCGAAACAGTATACTCTGTTATGTCCATGGTACTGTTCATGTCTATAGGCGACGGTTACCACTTTCCATCAGGTGGGCCGTCAGCTTGTTTGGCATTCTAAGTTGCATATTTTTTTATTTATTCCGATTATGAAATTTTTTACTTACATGATGCCCTCGGGGCTTGTAAGAACACTTATTATCTTCCTCTGATGATGATGATGACGATGATGATGATGAAGAGGAATCATGTTTGCTCTTGCGCCGACCCTAGAATAATTTTGAAAGTTTACTTTTATTACGAGTATGTACCACAATAATTTGTTTTTAATTCTATTAATATAACAAAAATGATAGTTTGTAATAATGCCTGTATATTTATTACGCACTTATGCTTAAATGGCTAAAATGATTTGAATAAAATTTAATACAAAAATAGGTTATATTCTAATTTAATATATAGGATACTTTATGTTCTGACGCACGCCGGCGAGCCTGCGGGAAACACCTAGGTTGTTAATATAATATTACAGTCCCGATATTCTGCACGTCACAGTAAGGTGGGGAGATGGTCGACATTTAGGCTATTACTGAATGATATTTTTGAAGTCTCAGCACTGTTCTCAGCTTCTTGCCAAATTTCATTTTCAATTGCCTGTACACTATCCCCGTAGTTACATCAGTCCAATGTCCGTGCCGTTCCGTAGAACTGTTCTTGGTACCAACTCTACTGTACCACGTCTTTGCAAGCTGTTGAATGATTGCAAGCAACACTTGGATATTCACTTCGATACAGAAGGGGATTTCTATAGGAAAGCATTGCAGTTAATTTGAATAGCTAATAAAACGATTAGCTCAAGAGATTGTTATACCATATTATTGTTTATTTGTGTTTCCTTTAAAATGATTGTACACTAAGTATAAATAGACAGTAATTTTAATATTAAATCTTATCAGTGTAACAATTGCTAGGAGACCAAATAAAGATAAAAAAATAAAATAAAAATAAGTCAAAATTAATCTAATAATCACAATTCATCATATCAGCCTTTAACTGCCCACTGCTGAACATAAGGCCAAGCATATGTATTGAACATCCCCTTAGGTGGTTTTGCCAGTAGCTGTTAAGCTTGATACGCGGATTGGCAACTGCAGTTAGCTTTTGGAGATGTTTTAAGACAGATGTTTCTGCCCATCCCTCGTCCTCTCTTAGTCGCATTTTACGACACCTATGGGAAAGGAAAAGGGGGGCCTATTTTATGCCAGGATCACATAATTATAATTGATAGGTTTTAATTATTTACGTAACGTGCATTGTATTGTATTATTTGATTTCATAGGGAAAATATATTCACACATAAAGTGCACCACTTGCACAATTTATGTGTAATATTTAAAAAGAGGGGTTTTATAAATTAACTTACGCATTTTATATCGTTGCCTTCCTCTGATGATGACGAAGATGATGATGACGAAGACGAACTATCTTTACTTTTGCTACGACCCTGTAAAAACACAAATATTTTCTTATAAATAAATAGGCTTGGTGCGTAGTTTGTTTACGTACTTTTGAAATCAACAAATTTTAAGAATTAAATTTAAATATGTATTTATAACACATATTTCGATATTTCAAAAATGTAGCAGGTTTTGTGATGATCATGATCACCCACCATATATATATATATATATATATATATATATATGTTGACCCTATCGTTTATTACTTACACATCCATTATTATCTTCCTCTGAAGAAGATGATGATGACGACGATGAAGATGAAGAATCCTGAAACAAAGAAATATAATTACAGATCTTCTTCCTTGTAATTTTTAATTAATTTTTGTGTTGCCATTGTGGTGAAATGATGGTCAGCCGTTAACTGTTCACTGCTAAACATAAGCCTATATATATATATATATATATATAGTACAATAGTTTTTTTATACAACTTAGAATGGTAAACAAGCTGACGGCCCACCTAATGGAAAATGGTAACCGTCGCCTATAAACATGAGCAGTACCATGGACATAACAGAGTATACTGTTTCGCCCATGATACCCCCATTCGTTGCCATTCCTGAGGACTCAGGTGTTACTCCTCTGTACCCAGTAAATTCACGCCATATCCCACCCTTCAAACCGAAAAAAAACCATGCAAACACAACTGCTTCACGGTTGAAACACGAATGGGACAGAGGTACCCAAGCCATCGACTTCTGTACAAAGTCTTCCTCTACCCTTTGTCTTTTTTCTTAATGTTATCTAGCAAAAGGTTAACAAGAGGGGATTGCATTATGACAACACTGTCTTTTGTATCTTTTCACATAAAATTTTACTATACTAATTAACAATTAAAAATGTTATAAATAGTTAAAACTTACACATTTCTTATCATTATCTTCTTCCGAAGATGATGATGATGACGATGACGATGATGACGAAGAGTTGTCGCAGCCGGATTTCTAAAAGTTAATAATTATGTTCAATAATATGACATGTATTAATGTGAGGTTAACAATAAGGCCACAAATGCAATGAAATTTTGATCTAACATAATTTCTCAAACTATGTGAAGAACAATAGAAAAAAAATCGGTATAAGTGGCTTGATTCACGTACTGAAAATTGTAACGTTATCCAGCCAAAAGTAAAGCCAAAAGATCAAATACAGACGAATTAAGAAGAAAGTTTTGGAAGTCGTTTAAAAATGACCCCATGATGAGAGAGAGAGAGTGAGATAAAATAATACTATTATTAACTAAAAAAGGATTATATGGACTTATTATTCTATTAGTAAAACAGGATAAATATCAAGATAAGTATTGCATTTTTTGGGACTCCATTTTCTCCACTTAGCCCCTCATTTGGACCACTTTGCGTGAGAGTCACTCCGCGCAGAAGCACAGAAGCTTCCTGATATCTTTATAGGCTTCGCGGAGTGACCTTACTGTATGAAGGATTTATACACTTTGTGATGTGTACAGCTCACATTCTAGGATTAAATGAAGGGCCAATTCTTCGACTTCAAAACTTAGCTGCCTTCTATGACTTCTATTGTTTATGTATTTATTTAAGTAACAGTAATTCTTCCTATCATTATTTTGACAATTTTTCTATCTAGTTTTCAGTTGTTTTGATAGTCACGGGTTTATCACAAGCCGGCCAATTATAAACTTCTAAATGGTTTGTGCTCATATTTTATAAATCAGTAGACCCATTTTCATATTTTTGAAGAAAGGTATGGGTACGATAGAGTACAGAGCTGTCACTTTTATATCAGAATCTTTTTTTCCAATTCATCTACATCGTTTCTATAAGATCTAGCGTGATGAAGGGGTATCAACCGACTTCAAAAAGAATGAGGTTCTTAATTCTATATATTATATTATGGTATGGTGTTTGGTAGACTTTACTTTTTTTATCATAGTTATTAATTTTATCATATAAAAATATTAGGATTAAAATTATTTTTATGAGTTATGTTTTTTTATCAAGTAGTAAAGCCGCAACGCCTTTAGGTAATATGATAAATATAAACTCGTGGAAAAATACTAGACATATTTTCATTTTAAGAATGAAGTTACTTATTTAAAATCATTTTGACCCTACATAGTACAAGCTTAGAGCACACACATACTTATTATTAAATTGTGCCATTGGAACAGATATAGGTTAATCTTTTTTCGATTTTTTTTAAGTTTTGAATTTTTGGTAATGTTTTTTTTTCTATACTAATAATGTTTATGAGACCGTATCAATGAATACTAGCACTAGTTTTAAGGAAAAGGTTATGTTAATTGTTACAGTATATACCTATTAAAATATGAAAACTATTTCTTTACATTTATTTTGTGACTGTAAAAGTTTTTTGTTAAATTGTAACCAAAAATTGCTTAAATACCAAATTATCTATATTTACAAGAGCCACAATTTAATTCACATGTAGATTAAAGGACAATTTTTATCATCATGAAATCACTCGTCAAATTTTTTATTATTATTATTCAAATATTTATTAAAAAGATGCGAATGAAAGGAGAAAACACATTACTACAGATTAGAGAGACTCGATTCCAAGTAATTGGGATTATTGATAAAGGAAGATATGATTCGTAACTACTGAGTAATGCAGCGGTCGGCAACTATTTGACAGGCAATGGACACGTAGTGGCAAAATGAGGTGGAGACCCGGGCCACATTTATTCAGATTTTTTGATTTTTGGTAAGTGCATTGATAAATCTGTAAAGCTCACCAAAAATATGATAAATAAATAATTTTGGTAATAGGTACCTATTTATTTATGTAAGTATTATTATCATATCATATCAGTTGTTAATTGTCCACTGCTGAACATATGCCTTCCCCTATTTTTTTTTAATGGGTTATCATGGAATGGTAACTCCGCCTGCGCTATCGGTATACGCTGGCGGGGCCAGTGATAGATGATAGGTGACGATGAAAGCAGGTCAGTTGGCTCATCGTGACGAATTCCACTATGATTAACCACGATGGTTTCCAGGGTGAACCGCGTGGCGGTCGACCTGATAGGGTGTATTGCTAGCAATGGGTCAATTAGACTCCATTACTAACAGTCCCTTACCCCCGACAGTTTGTGACCTTCCCCTATTAGGAGATTATACACTGATAAGCGTGGCAATTACTGGGTTGCCACTTTCGACGGGCGAATTGGCAACCTCAATTAGGCTTTGGTGATGTTTAAAGAGGGATGCTGCTGCTTATCTCTTGACTATTAAGTTCCCTTAGTCCCCTTTTTACGACACACGCGGAAAAGGAAGATTATAGAATTTAAGCATTATAGGTAATATTTATTAAAAATGATACACCGACGAATGACTGCAGAATGGTAAGTTGTCAGGCTGCCAATGTTGATTGACGCTCGCGCTTGTGATGGTCCCCCCCTTTGCGCCCCTTATAATAACTACCCTCTTATACTAACCTACACGTGGAAAACCTACAAAGCCTAAGAAAAGCCTACGAAGGCTTTACCTAATGAAAACCCATGAAAATCTAGTGAAAACCTACCCTAAAGAATGGCCTAACACCCTCAATATAACCCCATACCTATATTGCCTTATACACCCCAAACATCCTATGAATCATATAAACCCTTACAATAAACACATAATATTGAACAGATCTTATAGTAGAACACTTGATCATTTGGCCAGATAAATAAATGTGTGATCGTCTAGTAATGTAGGACCCGTTGTGTGTGTAATAACCAAAAGGTTCTTTAATTGGTATATGATAGGAGTTAAATAATGAAGATGATTGATAAATATTTAAGGATTAAGAATAATTAATGAATTATACTCATAATTCATGTAACTAGGAAGTTAGAATATAATATATTAATTTAATAGTAAATTACAGAATAACTGTAATAATAAAAAAATGGGGGAGCGGTCGGGCCCCTCACACGCCCGGACCAGTGGAAGACTTTCCAACTATCTATAACTCTTCCTCCTAAAAGGTAGGGAAGGGTATTACTATTTATTAATGCACTCTGATGGTAATAAGGGCATGAGTATTCTCAGTTCCAAACCAAACATAAGTACATTTACTTCAACATTACAGTGGCTCCACCAGCCCCACGATGCTTCCAGTATAAATTGGTGTTTGCCAGAGGCAAAAGGATCGGAACTGAAATCCCAGGATCACTCCGACACGAGAGCTTACTCATGGGCGATGACCCTTTCAGTCCTATATGGCGACATAGAGATCACCCACTAACAGTACGAAACTGTTTCCCAGCGTCACTCTGTTATGAGCTTACTCAATGGGGGTTTCCCTTCGGCTCCACAAGAGATCAGACCAAGAAGCGAGATCACCCAGACACCAGAACTTACTTTGTTGGGACATAACCCTTCGGCCCTATAATGTGACATTAGAGATCACCTGTGAAGACAGTCCGATAGAGATGAAGATTTGTGTGATAGGGGATACCTTCCACACCTTGGAATTGGCCAAGCCATATAATGTTGATAATTGCTATATCATAACATAGCATTGTCAATTTAATATTATTTACTTAATACCAAGAATACTCAAGGTTCAAGTTAAATCTGTTGATTAGGCCGGAGCCTAAAAACGAGTAGTCCAACCCATAGGTCGAGAGCTACTAAAAGTAATGAGTGCTATTGAATGAACTATAAGTCCAGTCAATTATATATAATATTATTGTTGATTAACCACATTGTGAATTAACCAATTATTTATTCAGAGAGATATATCTAAAGGAATTATAAGTCCTTTAAAAGACACTGATTAATCACAAGTTAACAACGTCTCGTGAAATAACCAGTTGGGTTTTCTATAAGTTTGAGGACACTAAGTCCAACAAGCTATTATTGTGTTGAGAGTAATAGAGATCTTTTGTAATATTTGTAGAGGTTTGATTAATCACATTGTGAAATAATCAGATTAAATAATTATGTAGCTTTATAGAGAGGACTATAAGTCCTAATTGGTTGTTGTCATAAGTACTGATAAATTACACATTAAAGTGCCAGGTCAATTATTATATATAGGTATATAGGAAGGACAATAAGTCCTATTTGTGTATGTTGTAGTAGTAGAGGCAATATATTGCATAATTATAATGTGAAAGATATAGATTAAATATATATTTGTATAGAAAGGACAGTAAGTCCCATACAATTATTGTAGCTGTACTATAGTTATACTATATCTACTTCCTTTTAGTGTCTTAGTAAACCTATTTACTAAGAGGATTTCTCAGATAAACAAGTGTTTTAGTGTTTAAATCATCATGATTAAATCCCTAAGAAATTAGGTCTTTAAATAATTATCATATCATTTAAGTGAAATTTCTCATATAAATAATTCCAATATTTCCCCTACAGTTATTATAAAATAACAGAAAATTATATAAATTTTCTATAGACTTAGATATAGAATCATAACGTGTATAATCTCCTTTTGTTTGACATCTGTCACATTAATGACGTATTAAATGACGTATTGATGTATTGAATTGAATTTTGATTATCTATCACAACTGTCAACGTAATAAATACTAGCAAGTTTGTTTATTTGTATTTGTTTAATATAATTAAATATAAAATCATCATATATCACCGTAATATACAACTAAATTATCAGTGACATAAATAATCATGGTTTACACCAGAAATAATTAATAGTATCCAGTAATGCTGCAGTTTTATATTCATATCAGTAGCCAAGCTTACTTTCAAATTCAAGAATGAACAGAAGATTAGAAGTTTAACATTCTTATTGCAATTGTACTTGCAATAATATATACATACAGTACTAATTATCAAGAACATTCCTCAAATACATGTGTGGTGAAGATTTTCCCAATATGCTATCTATTTGATTCCTAACCTCTAATGTAAATTTATTAAAGAAGTGAATAATCAGTGTTAGTGTTTGCTTTATTAATATTTAAAGTAATTGTCCTAACTTGATATTAATAGGTTCATATCTCCTTGGATACAGCCCAACATATACAACTAACTCGATAATGAAATTTATAAAATACTAATATTATATTTTACTACTTGTATATCTCCATACTATTCCCATAAAATATTCAAAACATGTATATTAAATATAAATCCAGTAAATATTCACTAATATTAACCCTGTCTGAACTTGTCTAGTCAATATAACATGAACAAACAACACACATACAAACCTTATCGCCAGGACAACTTCCTTTCTAAATATGAGTAAAATACATAGCTTCACAAGTGTCATACAGTACCAATTTTATACTGAACCTCATACCTAGTTAAGAGTAACTATAGTCAGAGAATCTTTTAGTACTTTTATTACCATTAGGAAATAAATCCACACCTATAATATCAATATAATTAAATATTATTAAAAGCAGTAATATACAAAGAGTTGTTATTGTCAGCTTGCTCACTACAATAAAATCAATATTAAAGTTTATAATAAATCAAGACAAATTATCTATTTACACAATACAGGCTTGTTTACCATAAACACCCCACAGTCACATGAATTTATTTACTAACACAATAATGTATTAAAAGTATTACATCCACATAAAATCACTTACAACAGTTAAGCTGTCTCTTTGTACATCTGGTGTAAAACAAATCCCCACATGTAGTCATGGATAATCAAATATAGACTAAGAATCATTAGTCTGGTCGACCGAGTAATGGTATGAAAACACTTCACCATGAAGCGTTAAGTATGAATAGATATTCTAAACCAACACTGTAGTAGTGTAATAAATACAAATATTTCATCATCATCATCGTCTCAACCATCACCAACCCACGACTGAACACAGGCAATTTCTACCGACTGACACAAGGAACGGCCCCACAATACACATAAAACAGTCACTCCAAACAATGGAGGTAGCCCACACCGCACTTGCATTCACAGGGTCGCCACTCAATAACCCCTCTCTCTCATCAATGGCTGTTTCCCCAGCAATGAGACCAGACCATAGTCACTTTAGTCTATTATCCTCAATAAATAAATACTTTATAATAACTAGATATGAAACTAGTTAGTATTGTAATAGTTCAATAGTTGATTCAATAAGTATTTTCCAAAACTGGACAATTAGAACATTGAATCTAATTGATGAAGTTCTATCAAACGACCATATAATTGGATTTTGTATATGAGTAGAATAACGTAAGTACGTAAATTATATTGATGTAAACTTTGTTCAAATGTGATTGCATTTAACGATATACGCATTACCTAAAGGTATATGGACTCGACTAAATACGTATTTTAATAGTTGTTGGGAAAAATATTAAGTATAGACTTTGCCTGTGATCACAGTCAAAAATCTAACTACGTAGTAATAAATGGAACAAGCTCACCGGATTCTCCAGTCTTCTATTGATTAATTTCACACACTTAATCGATAGTGATACACTAAGATCTCAAACCCCTTCATCGATCCGGTCCCTCCTAGATCTATATCCCCATTATTTTTTTTATTTTATTGCGCAGTTCCTAAAACACGACTCCCGCGCCATCTTTTTTTTTCTTTTTCTTTTTTTTATTGCGCAATTCCTAAAAAGCGACTCCCGCGCCCCCGCCGATCCGCCGTCCCTCCTTTTCTTTTTTTTTTCTATTCTTTCTCTAATAACGTCATAGATTATGTCACCGAAGGGCAGACATTTCAATAATCAGATTTAGCCTATCATTCGAACTGAACCTCTCTTTAAATTCAATTTAATTATACGCTAACGTATTTTGGTATCTTATATTAAATTGATTATCGAATTTATAAAACTTTAAAGGCTCTCATAAACCTTATTAAACTGTGTTGTATGTATCTTTTTTACACCTGATGATAAAAAGGTAAACTATAATTTGGTTATATATAAAATATAATATACCTTTGTTTAATTTATTTAATTTTCTTGTGACATCCACTACACTTTGGAAACACATCAAAGGAGTTTCCCTTCTGTGTCAATATTTCATATATGGTAACGTCTTCTCTGTACACTATTGTGAACCTTGACTTTAAAGTTTGTTTATATTAAATAGCTCAGCTTTCTTAGCGGTCACCCATAGGAACCCCTGTTACTTTTATGTACTTATGGTATTAAACCTATTGTACTATAGGCGAACCGTCACACGCTCCAGCTTACTCATGCTTGCTCGCACGCTAAATTTTGCGCCCATGCAACGTAATTATTTTTTATTTATTTATTATTAAAAAAAAAACCTATAATATAATTAACATATAAGCTACATTCACAAAAATTTCGGAGATTTATTCTTAACAGCTTTAACTATTAAATGATATATAATGGTAAGACTTCTTATATTAACAGTCGCGGGCCGTAAAGAGAAGGTCAGAGGATCGCGTATCGCCCGCGTTTTCGTCCGCTGGAGTAATACATTGAGCTAGCCTGTATTTGTAAGTAATATTTCTAACATTTATTTATTATTACTTCAACTGTGACAAAACTAGTTATTTGGATCTAAAAACTAATCTACTAAACAGATTATGACAAAATTTTTGAGGGATCAATTTGTAAGTGTATCCTTTTAAATAAAAAAATAATTTTCCAAATACGTATAGAACTGACAGAGTCATGAGGCATTAAACGTAAAAAATACAACCAAAATGGAAACCTTTGAAAATACTAAACACCCGGAACGCTTTGTTTTTCTCTCTACCGTCATTTACCAATTCCTTTTTTTTCTATCACTCAAGTTATAACAAATATCACACATTTAGAAAATTAATATTAAAATTGGTTGATATTTTTGTTTATTGGGTCTATCCGTGTACTTCTTTTTGTTAATTAACTGAGATAAAAAGTAGTAGTTTCTTTTCTTTTATTCTTCATGCTATATAATGTATACTGCACTTCGTGACAATTGTTTTAATGTAATGTAACTTTTACGCAACGTTATTTAGTAATTTCACAGATAAACTATTGAAATAATTTCAAAGTTATAGATTAGACGTTATCCAACATGATATTATGAAAACTTACTCATGTTTTAATGGTGTGAGATCATTAAAAGTTTTACGCATACGAAACAGCGGCTATCAGTTAGTATTAAAAAACACGGCCTAATTGATGTCGAATTCTCTATCTAATCAATATCTATTTGTAAATTAACTATAAGCATAAAATTACAATGAAAAATTTATTTAAAATCATATTACACCCGTTTACGTGATGACATAATAATATATATGATTGATCATGTAGTGTAATGTATGTAGTACATGGCTTATGATAATTGAATAATACCTCTTTATCACAATATCTATTGGCATAGATTAAGTTGTCCATCTATATTATAAACAATACCTTCGCCTCTGATCTGTACTGAATGTTTATCTTTGAGCCAAAGTAATTCGATGAACTCATTTTATTGACGTGTTAAATAATATTATGTATTTATATAGATCCATATATATATATATATATATATGGATCTATATACAGTGGCAGTAAGTAAATAGATTGTTTTAGCATAAGCAGGATACATGCCAAAAACATAATCACTATACTAGTGACAAAATTAATATAATATTATAGAACTAAGACAGAAATAAATGTTATAAATTGAAAAAGTAATTACTAAAATCGGGTAGTAAATTGAAAAGATATCACGTAACATACACACATATAGACACCAAAATTATTTAAAAAAGGAAATTATTCTCAATTATTCTCTATTTTTGCGTATGCACACTATACGATTTTGTAAATATTTAGTTAGTACAGGTGATTGGTTAAGTTCATAACTGTACTTATTTCCATATATATTCATGATTCATATTAAAAAAAAAAACTATTATTAGCATGGTATCTCATATGCTACACAAGATACAAATTTAATTTGTTTATCATATAACTCAGTTGGTCGATCATAAAAAATGAATACCTCATCATTATCTCGGGTACATTTTGTCTTGCCGCACCGGACACTTTTCCTGTAATGTGAAAAAAAAATAGTATATCATCATAATGTTAAAATCAGTGTAATAATATATATTAATAAATATAACTGTTTTATTTTAATAACATAAACTAAATTCTGTAATTATCAACAAATAACACCACGCGTACAATTGTGAACTTGTTTATGGTAGATATTTTTTGTCATTTGGTGACTCATTACTCAAAATTTGCAGACTCAGATAAACTCCTTGAACTCTCTTTCTCTCTCACTCATAACTCCTATAAATGGTTATCTATTTCATCCTATATATATATATATATATAGTTAAAATAGTATAAAATGAAATCGTTGTCTGCGTCTGGTATTTCCACTCTTCTAAACCACGCAATACATTTTTTACAAAAGATTTATACTCGTACATACAATATACATGCGTGCTGGTCACTAGTTATATAAAGTTTTTAATTGATTCGGCCTTACCTTGAGCAGGGCTTTGATTCAATTAGTGCTATTAAAGCAATTCCAATAAAAAATATAAATAGAGTCTTGTTCATATTTGACGTAGATCCGAACTTGTTGGCTGAAATGAATACAGATACTTAATTAAAACGTTAATAATAAAATTAACACTAAACTTTTAATTAGGACGTAGTAATTATGAAATAATCCATGATATTCATAAATAATAGTACCTGTAGCAACTTATATATGGTATATAATTATATATGTATGTTAAACCAAAGCCAAACAGCTTTATACGAGTATTATATAATTACATTCCACAATCGAATATTTAAGGTTAATCAGTCATCACAAAACCAACCATACAGAATGTGAAATACACAACTGATAAACATAGATAAAATGTACTCATTATAATTCATAATTATTCAATTAATAACGTTTATTAATAAATTGTTTATTGTTATACAACATTATGAATATATAGCGGTTATTCTGTTTAGATATACATATATAATTAGTTCCCTAATTAACAAGATCTACCATACGAGTTTCATGTTGTACATAGAAATGAAGAAAAAATCAACGGGATTAACTTACAATTAATAAAGGGATACTTTGTAAAGAGGTCGTCTTTTTAGATAGCTATAGCCTACTTATGTTTCTATTGCAATGTAGCTGAACTTGCATGGTTGTTTTTCAGTTCGAAGGGTGATGTTAGATATGGTAATGAAATTACAGGTTATGGAGGCGTATTATATGTTATATGTGTAGTTAGTCCCCAGAAATTACAATTTTGGTATGCCCATACCCTTGAAGCGACTATAAATAATTGTTATCATACTTTATTAGGTAGGCTATCAGCTTGTTTATCATTCTAAGTTGCATCAAAACACTTTCTTAATTCCTGATGAATTTATTACGGTGAAGCAATTATATATATAAACTAATATATATGCTGTTTGTATCTATAGAAATGTGATAAATGTATTATAATAAAATTGAATTTAAGAAATATTGGTCAATTTTGTATGTAACACAACTTATGTATTTATAATTTGTATATTAAAAAAAAGGTCGTAGTGTTAGGCTTTTTTGTCTGAAAAAAAACACCTCTTTCAATAATAAATAAACAATAATACTAGTATTTGAATATAACATGCAGGAAATGAGTTTAATTCGTTTCTTAGATAAAGTTACATTATTATCGGCGTTTCCTATTAACGGAGTCGATTTTTTTTTTTTTATTTATTTTTACAGCATTTTAAATATTATATTCCTTGATTTAAAGTCATCGGGTAAACGACAATGATTTCAAGAAAAATATTTTATATAAGGGACCTTCAATTTTTCATTTCTAATTCCAATTAATTTATGCATAAAAATAATGATTGAGTACTGAACTTTGACTCAAATTTATTAATATTGATATAATTTCATCAACAACAAATTCAACAAAAAATGTTGTTTAAAGCCAAATATAAAATTAGGTTTAGAATTAAATATTATTAATTATTATATTTTGCAATATAAAAATACTTACAATTTGTGATGAAATCAGTAAAATATTTTGTTTTTGTTTTTTACTATAATTACTGAACCAGATCGTCTCAATATTTAGCACTGACTGAGTTTGGGCATAGTTGATAACAGATTTACTCAGAGCATTCATCTGGGGTCTATTTGTTATAGGGTCACATCGATAACAGAATCACTAGGTTAATATTACAAGTATAAAACAATATAAATAAATCATACGTGACATGCATGTTTGCAAATCTAGTCTTAAAAATGTGGGGATATAATTTTAAATAACATTTTCTTACATTATTTTTTCATTTGTAACCAATATGTAAGTACATATCTGACTATGATGACCAAATCCTAACTGTGGTTGCCAACCCGTCTGCCAAGCGTAGCAACTACTGGCAAACCCCCCTTTATCGTAGGTTTATGTTCAGCAGTGGACAGTTAAGGGCTGATATGTAATAACTAACTTGTTTGAACTATTTTTATCACTTTTATAATAATTATTTATAATACATAAGTTTACGATAACTGTCTATGTTCTATTTTGAATTATTCATTTTATTATTTTAGATATACATGAGCATACATTGTAAAAAAAACTGTGAAACAATGTGACATGAAGCTGACTGCATCCATGAAGAATAATATAATGAAACACTTTATCTTAACTATCAATTTTTATAATATTAGCTACTTTTTGTAGCTTTGTGTGGGCACACAAAGCTAAAAAGTATATAGGCTTCAATTAAATTTAATTGAAGCTAAACATATTTTTTGATGAAACTTATAATAGCACACAAGCTAATGACCTACTTGAAAGAAAAAGGTAACAATCACTTGTATATATTGTATAATAATATTTATTTATTTATTTTAAACTTTCTGAGTACAATGAGACACTTAAACTAATACTACTAATAATATACATAGAAACTACAAAGTTGTGAAGAACCGGTGCTTAAACTGGGTATCTGAAAAACCCGTGTCACAAATTATCAATCCCCTCCCTGGGATGAAGCAATTTATTCTTACAGTGGAAATCTGAAGACTTCTTAAGAGTATCTGAGCAATATGTTGGTGAGCGAGGAAGATACATTTACAATACATACATACTTACACGTGTACAAATACATTAACATATACACACATCGCAAATATGTTAGGTTAGGTTAGTTTATGGAAAATTTAACTGTCTATTTATCAATCGGTCAAAATTAAAGATGCATTAGTAAGGCAGAGTAATTATGTACAAAAAGACAAAAATAAAAAAAAAATAACAAATAATAAAAACTTCAGGAGGTAGGATGAATTTATTTTTCAATTTCATCATGGTTAAGCTGCTGAAGCCACTTTGTAACAGTTCTTTTGCGTATAGGTATATTTATTGAAGGCAAAAATTTATATTTTCAAATTAATCGTTTTATAAAGGTAAAGCCAAAGAAAATCGAAGGATCTCTATGCAAACATCGTCTTATGTACGAGTATACCTCGTGTTAAATAGTGCCTTCGGGTAATTAGGTCAGAATGGCAGATCGAAAGTATATTCTGCTTTAATATTGTAAATAAGAGAAATAATTATCGCACTATCAGAACTTGACATGACTTATAGTGATCATTGGTAGAACAGCGAAACGGCCTGAAATTAGATAATTTGAGTAGTAATATATAAACTAAGATAAACTGAGTTCTTTTGGCTCTTTCGAGACTAATTGAAATTAGTAGCATCACCCTAAGGAGTTATACAGTAAATTAAAATTAATTGACATAGTGGCATATATGTTATTTTCATGGTCTACGAATTAGCAATATAATGTAGTCACTTCAAAATGTATGTTAACTTTAGAATACATATAATTGATATTTCAGTATAATCTTTAAACTTAGTATTAGTGCCAATTGTTACATCTAAGTATTTAATTATATATATTATATTTACATAATATATAGGTATACGATTAAATATTTAGATTTACATATATATTGAGGGAGACTTTGAACAAAAGTCGTTTGCTTGGGTATCTCTGTCCCATTCGTGTTTCAACCATATAGCAGTTGTGTTTGCATGACTGTGTTTCGGTTTGAAGGGTTGGATATGGCGTGAATTTACAGGGTACAGAGGAATAACATCTGAGTCCTCAGGAATGGCAACGCATGGGGGTATCATGGGCGTAACAGTATACTCTGTTATGTCCATGTTTATAGGCGACGGTTACCACTTTCCATCAAGTGGGCCGTCAGCTTGTCTGCCATTCTAAGTTGTATAAAAAAAAACATGAACGGTATGTAAACAGGTAAACACCTGGTACTCCATATACGTTATTATTCCTGAGAACTCAGGTATTATGCGTACCATATAATTTCACTACCAAATCCCACTTACAATAAACCAAATACGAGGTAAATTGAGAAAATATCGAAACAAACTAACAGACTCACATTATATGTTTTGTCTACAGCAAATAGTCAAGTTTAATAGGCTTGGATTCTCATTATTTACTATCATTTCACTTACTAATAGCACTTTTACCAAAAGAAATATCTATTTAGGATGAATTTAACACAAAAAAATTACCATCTAGAATAAAAAGAATATTATAATTTATACCTACTATATTAATTCTATAAAGAAAAAATATATTTACATGTATATCTGTGTAAATTAAAAACATTAGAAAATCTAGGTCTTCCAGTTACAAAATCTATTCGGATGAAAATAAAAGCATCGACGTTTTTCATCTGCTCTTTCTATGCCTCTGGTGGTTGCTTTGATTTTAGATGCAAATGATGAAAATATTCTTGTGTAGATTTACAAGCGCCTGTCTTTCATTTGAATATATTAATTAAAATAATAAATTGAGACATAGTTTTATACTCTTCTACTGATATTGGAATTAATTGAAATATAATACAGAACAGGAAAAAATTGTATATTAGTTTTTATCCGCATTTTCGTTTGCATAATTGGGATATGTTGTAAGCTGAAATGAAATATTTCACATAAATGGAATGGAGCCCAAATAATTTATATGAAAATTTACAGAAAACTCACTTTCGCATTTAGAATAGTATTAATTATGGTACGATGGTATATAAAAGCAAATTTTAAACTGCCTAAACCACCTGGCTAGTGTCGTAATAGTGGTTGATATTTGATAGAAGCAGTCAGTTATGTTATTATATTATAATGATTTTTGAACACGGAAATAATATTAACTAACTGTCCAATAATATAAATTTAATTGATAATAATTTAAAAACATTTGTACAAATATAAACAATCAATAAACACAAAACAAGATGCTATTATGACTACTTGGATATAACCAGCTCAATTCACTCTATTTTATCTGGATTATTCGATAAACGCCCACTGCCGTCAGCGAGAAAACAAGCTCCTTACACAAATAGAAGGGATTTTAATATCCTTAAGTAGTGATGATACTGGCCTTCGCTCGTATAAAAGACTTGCAAAGTAATCCACAGAAGGCGTACAGATATCTTGCAAATCTGCTTGAGTCATCGCATCCTTTTCAAATAAATAGGGTCCGAAAAAGCGACGTTTATTTTTTTCATAATTCGATTGCAAAGAAATGCAGATAGTAGAGGGTTAAGCTCTTTGTGCCTTTACCTATAATCGAGCAGGGCTATGAAGGTCTATTGGATCAGATAAATAAACCGTTTTACGATGCTATCAGTTTTATATTGACGCTTCTATGAGAGAAAGGGGGTGGTGAGGTTGTATCATTATTTTCATGTTTATATTATTACTCAGGTACTCACTTTCGTTTTAATAAAATTGTACCTCTCCAAATATAATTATTTATTACTAGTATATGACATAAATTAAAGTCTGCTAAAGCTTTCAGTTCATTACTATTAAAAGTATTTACTTATTCTTTATAGACAATAGGTTCCAACATAATATTTGACTTAGATTCAACAGTTGCAGCGTTTACTTTACTCAAAGGCGTGCTTCGAGCTATATTACACTAACAAAAGTTACTCCAAAGTAAGCCAAGTTAGATTCAAAGAAATCTTTCATCTCGATATTATAACTTTTAAATTATTGAATTCACCCCGAAATGAATGGAAAACGTATTACTTGCGAGTAAAATTAGGTACCGGTTTAAAACTTCCCGATGAAGTGGAGTTCGAAAATGGCATTATAAATTCAGCAGTTTACAATCACAGCGCTACTTGGCTGAGGCAAAAAACCTTCGGGAAACTCGTTCTAACTTTTCCTATTTTTCTGCGTTAATTTCACCTGAACCCATTACACTTTGCAACAATTCTTAGTGAGAACGTTTCTATTAGGGTGTTCAAATTGCATTTTAAATGACTTTGTTGATACTTAGAGGGAAATGAACAACTTCAAATTCAGCTCATAAAGAAAGTGTGTGTAGATATACAGAATTCGCATATTTTTGATTTGCGAATTCTGTATACTTGGAAATTATTTTGGAAATTCTCAATCTGAGACAACTTCAGAAAACCAGAACTGCGCAAGTCAACTTGTAATATTTTCATGTACAGGTATTTTAAATGATGTTATTACAATCACAATTAACATAATTATGAATCATTAATTATGGCTTCGTCCGTGTAGATTATACTACTAAATAGTCTATATTAATTTCTGTATAAATTTTCTTTAATTTTCAAACGTGATTAAAAAACGTATTTTATTATATTATATACTATATATATTATATATTATATTATATATTATATATATATATATATATATATATATACTTATATATATAATATAAAATCCTTGTAATTTTATAGGAACAAGTTTATTTCAACTTAAAATATACAACAAGTTAATTACATCACGTCCTATTTAAGTTACAGGTAATAGACACAAAATGTCAAGCGGGGAAAGTAAACTGAGGAAAGTATAAAAGTAGTATTCGAGTTGAGCAATGAAATGTTAAGGATGAATAAGTTAATTGGCCCCCTGAGCGTATCGGCGGGACTCCTGTGCCACAGAGAAATGCATTTAAATTGGATTTTAAGAGTAGAAATCACCGTCGCGCACTCCGCCTCTCCCAGCCTTGTTAGAGCCAATCTCAAAGTTTACGTAAACGAATAAACCTTCGCCCTGAAACGGAATTTATCGGTATCAATTTAAACTATAGATATTC